CATGCTCATAACTGTGCCTGATCTAATACAACAGGGAACTGCTGCTTTTTCTTTCCCGATCCTTACTATTGTCATTTTCCTCTACTTCTTTTGTATTTGTGTCACTCTCTTGTGACCTGCTATTTCCGGGGTGCCTTGATAGTCGAAGCAGACCTTGTGCTGTTGAAGCTAGAGAGGTGAGCAGAGTAAGCCCGATTCTCTGTAAAGACTTCTCTGTTGACACCCACCCCTTGGCGCTCACGTGACCTTATGCAGTTGCGAGCACTGTAAAACCCTCTTCTATAAAGGCTGTCTTATAGATCAGAAATCCCGCAGTGATGGCCGTGTCTCACCTCAACCGTCTGCTCCTCTCCGTCTAAGAGGAACAGTTCCGGAGACGCCCCGGCCTTTTGCTTGAACTCCACATTGTGACTGAGACCATGCTCAAGGAACAACAATCAGCCAAATATTGGCAATGTTCACCAGGAAATATAACAATGAATGGTGCAAATTCATTTGACACTAAAAACAATTCATCATATTATATACATATATATTATATCCATGTTAAATGTGGCCCCTCTATGTTTAAATGTATGTAGCTTGCAAAAGGCAGAACTAGATAGTAGCAGCATAGTTGAAATGTCCTAGAAATTCTTAAAGTTTACATTAGCACTAACTGCATTTTCCGGATCAAGCACTGCCTCCAATCAAAACATGCAAAGCAAAAAGTCTGTCCCGTTCATAGCGATAGAGGCGATGGTTCGTACAATAAAAAAAACAGTCTGTTTTAAAATCGAACCATGGCAGTCCTGTTTTCAAACCTCAGTAAAACGAACAGTAAAACCTATCATTATAAAATTATTTCAACAAAATATTCTGCCTTGAAAGGATACAACAGAGGGAGATCCCGAGTAATGAACCTCTTGACCTCTGGCAACTTGTTCAGTCGTCATCCGGTGCAGCTCTGAAAAGAAGAAATGATACATTGTTAGTCTTTTCACAGTACCGGGTATTTAAGGACTGTTATTGTGTTCATGTTTCTTGATCTCTAAACCGTTATTGTGTTCATGTTTCTTGATCTCTAAACTAGTTATAGTTTCTATCTCTAAATCTGATTCAAGACTACAGACCAACTGAACTAGTGAGGACCATAATGCTGCCAACAACCAAAGACAGTAGATCTAGTAGGAGTGAGGCAGTTTGAACTTCAAAAGCAAAAGTCCCGATGTCGTCTCTCTCCGATGTCGTCTCTCTCCGATGTCGTCTCTCTCCGATGTCGTCTCTCTCCGACGTCTCTCTCCGATGTCGTCTCTCTCCGATGTCGTCTCTCTCCGACGTCTCTCTCCGATGTCGTCTCTCTCCGATGTCCTCTCTCTCTGATGTCGTCTCTCTCCGATGTCGTCTCTCTCTCTCTGATGTCGTCTCTCTCCGATGTCTCCGATGTCGTCTTTCTCCGCCACCACACAGAGTACAGAGCAAACATGTGTAGGACTTACCAGGATAAAAGACTACAATTGTTGAGAGGCCAGCGAAATAGCCACAACAATAGTGGAGTAGATTCTAAAGGCTCATGAGGCGATCATAACCAATCAACCAGTTTGACGGTTCACGTGTCTTCTACCGCACTTTTGCACGCCGGTTCAACTCTGACTTGCAGTAGATCTAGAGATAGAAGTACTGAGTAAAAGTAGTAGGCCGCACATGCGACTAAACGTAGAACGACGCAAACTATTTTTAGGTAAGGCGGCCATCTTGTGTGACATCAGACCGTGACACCCCTCCGATCACGTGACTACATCTAAATATAGCCAACCGGACTGCACCAAAGATCGGGCAGAGAATCTTTGATTGCATGACGCTTTGGTGTGATGTTTTTCCAGGAATACTGGTAATGTGATATGATGCGGTGCTTCCATGATGCTGCTGTTTATCTCTTCTGCGCATTGTTTATCTCCCCAGGGGGAGGGGGGGGTAATCTTCCGGCGTCTTAACGGGAATTTCCGCGCGCTTTATTGTCTTTATATTTACCATAAATTTACCGTGTTTCAATTTCAAGCATCATCACCGGAATTCCGAAATGTTACTAACATACCTGGAACCTTGTGACCAATCAGTAGAGCATGGCTAATGGCTGCAGTTAGCCGCAAGTGTGAATTTTTATCGTGCGAAACGCATCAATACGGAATACGTCAAGCCACTGACCCAACGTGTCGTTCCATGACATGTTGTGGCGTGGTAGGCCTATCTCCAAAGATTCTCTACCACCAGATCTTTGGTATCTCCATGGCCTTCTAAAAATAATATGTGGGTATCCCAGGACGTAATGACATCACATTACTAAAATTAGCCGCCAATCAGGCAGGTACGTGTTCTACGTTTAGCCGCATGGCATGTGTTGGCTGCCAAGACCAAAGTCAAGTCCTATACACACTATAGGCTAAGTGGTAAGGTAAGGTTTGTTGTCTGCTGTAGTTGTTAATGTTACTGAGGCAAAGCAGAAGTTGAATTAAATAGCTTTTACAAGTGACATAAGCTTACCACAACTTTAGCACTCATAACACCCTTTTTCTCTTGGCTTTCGGCTGCATAAGCCCCGAGAAAAACAATGCTGAGCGTTAACAAGACACACGTCATCCTTCCCATTCTCTCCATGATTGTTGACACATGAACAGAGGGGCGGCAACTCTCGCGTTCCTCTACAGCCTGGGACTTGTTTCCCAACTTTTTAGGGGGGCCAATAATCTTATGGTCCATTCAATCGGTTCATCTGTCCCGTTCCTGAAGATAGAGGCGACGGTTCATTAAATGAAAAAAGCAATCTCATGTACCATGGCAATAGGCCTAGATCTACTTTTGTTTTAAAAACAAAGCGAAGCAGTTCCACAGAAAAACACACGCAGTGCCCGTTGGCACGATCAGTTGGAATCAGTACAAAGTAAAGCGACCATCGTGTCACAAACCGATCGCCCGACTCGCAGCCACAAAAACAAACGTGTCTGTTTTCAGGCGTGAGTCGGGCGATCGGTTGGTGATCAGTCTGTCGCTCCGACACGGGTGTATGTATTGGCCTGTCATTTAATTCCTACCCTGAACAAAATCTGTCTGCTTTCTTTTTCATTGTTGTCTCCCCTGTAAAATGCTTCGGGTAGTTGAAGGTTCCTTGACCTCAGATTTGCTCTGTCTGCTACACAGAATTCTACACTTAGTGTAGAATTCTGTGGTCTGCTATGACCGCGTGTCCACCAAACCAGAAGCCTCCCGTCTCAAGTCAAAGTCGTCCGTTTCTCGGGAAGTCGGTAGTTGAAATGAAGTACCAATTTTAACCTTCGTAAAGTAATTAATGAGGACTCCGTGTCGGAGTGTTCACCAAAACGACATGACCCCTCCTGAACTCCCGACGGAAGACGGGTCGACCGGTAGATCTAGAGAAGAATACGTTACGGCGAATGCGGTATTTTTTGTCGAACCTAGGCTGAGTTAAAGTTTTTTTTGGTGCTAATTCTAAGCTCTGATGAAAAATGTAATGTCATATTCGTGATCAGCGCCCCAAGGTTAGCAAAGTCTGAGAGCAAACTACGGATTGTATTTATTTAATGTATTTATTTAACATTTCACTAATTTCTTTCTTTTTGAATCAATCATGGTTTGACATTCCCAGCTTTCATTCCTCAACTGTTGCCCAGTTCACCGATACTGGAAACAAACAGACCGAATTGCTTCCTCCGACAAAATGTTGTTTCATTTCTGTTTTGGTAGACTCACGGCCTGATAGTCTGTTTCTCTGAAAGTCGCTAGTTGAAACAGAGCACCGGTTTTTATCTTAGCAATGAGTCAAAACTCCATTTGGATGTGTCCGCCAAAACGACACGACACTTCCTTAGAAAAGACAAGACGGTCGGAACGCCTTTTAGTCCAACCGTGTGATGACACATCAGTCACAGGCCCAGCCAGAGCTAAACAAAATTATAATTTCACGCTTGGATGAAAAATATGATGTCATGTTCGTTATCAACGCCACGCCAAATTCGCAGATACACAAGTTTTGCTTCACTCAAAAGAAAGCACAGGGAGATATCTTTTATATCCGCCTCTGGAATTATAGAAACTTCCCCTAAAATACACTCTTTCTACAGCTGTGTTTGGTTTTCCAGGTAGTGAATACAAACTTTGTACGTGTAATGGATAAAGTTGGTGAAAATGTGAATACAAAATGTGTAACATTGATAAAGTTGGTGAAAATCGGCATCTTTGACTTGACTGTGGCCAGCCCGTTGCGCCTTTTGAAGCACTTGTGAGATTTCATACCCACACCACCCTGGCGATCTGCATCGGTAAAGGTTCACATGGGAGGGGTAACCTAACTCCAATTTTTTAATTT